GGATGCTATTGCACATGTCATGCAATTGGTTGCACAAGAGATGCTAGTCAGCACCTCTACCAAAGCTGCAACAATTGGAGACTGGAGTGAAGCTAAAGCTCCAAAAGTTGGGCTAAAATAGCACCCTGCAGGGCTAAGGTACGCCTTCCTTGGACATAATTCTATTTATCATGTCATTGTTAATGCTTCTTTGAATAATGCAGAGCTCACTCTATTGGTAAATAAGCTACGCAGATTTCACAAAGCTCTTGGCTACTCTCTTGATGATATTTCAGGTATCTCTCGAGACTTGTTCATGCATAGGATACACCTGGAGAATGAATAGACATTATTAGTTGAGCATTAGAGGAGGCTAAATCCAAATCTGAAGGATGTTGTCAAGAAGGAGATCATAAAGCTCCTGGAAGATGGGATCATCTATCTTATATCCGATAGTGCTTGGGTCAGTCCAGTTCATGGGATCCAAGCACTGTCAGATATAGGATAGATGACCCCATCTTCTAGGAGCTTCATGATCTCCTTCTTGGCAACATCCTTCAGATTCGGATTCAGCCTCCTCTTTGCTCTTTTCTGCAAAGATGTGAAGTTTATATTATCTGCAGAATGCCAGTCTGCTTTTGAACAGATCAAACAAGCTTTGGTGACTACACCAATTTTACAACCTCCAGACTGGGATTTACCTTTTGAGGTGATGTGTGATGCTATTGACTTTGCTGTTGGAGCTGTGCTGGGACAGAGGAAAGACAAGAAGCTACACGCCATATACTATGCCAGCATGACATTGGATGATGCTCAGAGGAACTATGCTACCACTGAGAAGGAGCTGTTGGCAGTGGTCTTTGCCTTTCAAAAATATCGCTAGTAACTTGTGGGCTCCAAGATCGAGGTCCATACAGATCATTCTGCACTGAAGTACTTGATGCACAAGAAGGATGCAAAGCCAAGGTTTGGGATGGATTCTGCTTCTCCAAGAGTTTGATATTGAGGTGAAAAACAAGAAGGGGATTGAGAATGGAGTAGCTGATCATCTCTCCAGGATTAGGATTGAAGATGGCGTTTCAATATATGATTTCCTGTCTGAAGAGAATGTCTATCTCAATGAGACAAGATTGCAGGTTGATAGTACCTAAAACCTGCAACTCTGTGGCGAAAAAGGGCAGCGACGAGTGACACCAGGAGGGTGAAGCTCGTCACCCACTCCACAAACTCACGAAGGAGTCGCGATATCAAGCCAGCGATGATCACCACTCCCCTAGTGACGCTCGTCACTCTACACAGATGTTGGCAATGTTTTGTGCCAGCTTGAGAAGTGCTTTTAAAGAGCAAGCTTACGCCATTACTGATCCTAGGAGACCTTGATATGCTGATATTGCCAACTACTTGGCTGCAGAGGACGAACTACATGATTTCAAAGGTTATGCTAAGAAGAAGTTCATGAGAGAACTAAGGAGATTCTACTGTGATGAGCCATATTTGTACAGGAATTGTTCATATGAGATTTATAGAGATACATTGCAGAGACTGAGATTCCAGATGTACTGTTTCATTGTCATGGTTCTGGGTTTGCTGGACACTTTGCTACATTCAAAACTGTGTCCAAGGTTCTTCAAGCAGGCTTATGGTGGCTTATTATGTTCCAGGATGCACAAGCTTTCATATCCAGATGTGATACCTTCCAAAGGAGAGGAAAAATTACCAAAAGACATTTGATGCCACAGAACTTCATCCTGGAAGTTGAAGTATTTGATTGTTGGGGCATTGACTTCATGGGTCATTTTCCTTCATCCTATGGGAACAAATACATTCTGGTTGCTATGGATTATGTATCCAAGTGGGTTGAGGCGATTGCTAGTCCAAAAACAATTATGTAGTGGTTCTTAAGCTTTTTAAGACTATTATTTTCTCCATATTATGAGTATCACGAATTGTCATCAGTGATGGTGGAAAACAATTCATCAACAAGGTCTTTGAGAAGCTACTGCAGAAGTATGGAGTCCACCATCGAGTTGCTACTCCATACCACCCTCAGACCAGTGGACAAGTTAAAGTCTCCAACAGATAGATCAAGCAAATACTAGAGAAGACTGTGGGAAAAACAAGGAAAGATTGGGCTGCGAAATTAGACGAAGTGCTATGGGCTTATAGGACTGCCTACAAGACGCCATTTGGGATTACATCATTCCACTTGCTCTATGGCAAGGCGTGCCATCTTCCAGTGGAATTAGAACACAAAGAAGCATGGGCTATAAAGAGGATGAATTTTGATTTGAAGCCTGCTGCAGAAAGGCGTTTTGTACAGCTTAATAAACTGGATGAACTCAGATATCTGACCTATGAAAACTCTTAGTTATACAAGAAGAGGAGGCATATCATGATAAGAAGATCATCTCTAGACATTTCGAGCCCAATGACCAGATACTTCTCTATAACTCTCGTTTGCAATTATTTCCTGGTAAACTGCGTTCTCGTTGGTCAGGTCCCTTCACCACCAAAGAGGTCATACTATATGGCGTCATTGTCCTGATAAACTCCTAAGGAGAGGATTTCACTGTGAATGGCCAAAGGGTGAAGCATTATTGGGCGGAAGCCGAGATTCCAGCAGGACACATTGTGTCTCTAGATGACGCACCCGCTGTCTGAGCAGCATTCCAAGTCAAGTTAATGACATAAAACAAGCGATTGGTGGGAGGCAACCCACTGGTAAGCTTTCTAATTCATGTACATTTATTTATTTTCGTTCTGTATAGATAAAAAAAAAAGAAAAAAAGAGAAAAAACGTAAAAAAAATAATTGTGGCGGAGTGATGACCATCTAGCTTTGAGAGAGACAAATCTTGTACTCTTTTAGAGAAGATTTTGAACCCTTGTATCTATACTCTTTTCATTTTAATGCAGTTTTATTCTGTTATGATTTGTTTCATCATCTCCATGTCTGAGTAAACTGCTAGTTAGGTTATGATGATTTAAAAGTTGATGAGAGTTTGTAGAATTGCTAAACTGTTAGGAAAATCCATTGGTTCTTCATCTAACTTGCATTCACATTGATATCTAGAACTGATAATTTAGAAATGCATTCTACATTCTCGAATTCAACATGCGAATTATCCTAGCCTAGCGGTTTTAGCCTCTTGAACTCTAAAAACAATCATCAAATCGCCTGCTTTTATTTATTTAGTTATTTCGCTTTATATTCACTCATTTCGACTTAGCATAATCTGAATCTAAAATTTGTAGTGTAATAACTTACTCCCTTGGGATTCGATAACCCTTTGTGCTAGAACTGCATTGCTGTGCATTTGTAGTAGTACTTTAAATTGGGTAAAACTAGACCCCTATCAAGTAATTCATAATGTCTTAGTAAAATCAGTTGGTCCAGTAATACCCAGCTCGTGTATCCAGAAATTTTTATTTATCTACGAATCTACAACGATTTACTACGATTCGGGCTGATTCGATGCGCATTTAACGATTATAACTGCTCCTATTTACCGACGTAAGACTCTTACCAAATACTTTCAATTACCCAATGATCCACAAAAATTTCAGAACTATGACGTCATTGGAGAACCAGAGCAACAATGTGTAACACTCCACCATTATCCCAAGATACAAAGCGTATATTTATAAGATAATGCAGCAAAAAACCTGCAAGAAACGGATTCACCTTATGAAATTCCTAAACAGTTTCTAAATGAAGAATGTTATGTTTTGGAAAACATGAATAAAGATTGATCCCAAACCAAACTGCCATATATGTGAAGATTGTAAGTGGTTTAAAATTAATTAAGAATTAAATTAGATTACTGTTTTCTTTTTATTTTATTTATTTATATTAAAATATTAAAATATAATATTATTAAATTAAAGAGGAAAGATGAGAATAAAATAGAGAAAAGATTAAGAAGAGAATAGTGAGATTATGAAAAGGTTAGTGAAATTTTTTAGGGGTGGGCACATCGGTTTTCGGTTTGGTTTCGGTTCGGTTTCTTCGGTTTTATAGTTTATCGATTTTACAAAAATTCAAACCATATAAAAGCCATATATATTTCGGTTCGATATGATTTGCTTTTTTACGGTTTGGTACGGTTTGGTTTCGTTTTTTTGGAATTATACTATTACGAAATTTTTTGATTCAAACCAATAGAAATAATAATATATATATATGAGTGAAATAAGATAATAAGTTCAAAAAATAGAATCTAAATCATAAAAAATCCATCAATAAGAACAGATTTCAAAGCAGAGAAACAACAAATTATCAAATCTTTCATAATCGGTAATTTTAAAACAATAAGCAAAGCTAGATTAAAATTTAATACCTATAAGTTTGAAACTAGAATTAGAAGACTTGAATGTGAAGAAAAAAAAGTTAATCACGTTTTTTTTATTGAAAATTTAAGATTTACTTTATTATTTATATGTAGATATTTTTTATAAATATTATATTTTAAATTTATAAGTTAAGTTAATAAATTATAAAAATAATTAAGCCCAGTAACAAAATATGTACTTAAACTAAATTAAGAAACTAGAAAAATATAAATTATTTAAAATTTAGTTTAAAAACCGAAAAACCTTTTGGTTTGACGGTTTTTAACCAAACCAAACCTAAACTGCTATAAAAAAATGATGACCAAATAGATTTTTAAGTTTAACCATAACCAAATCATATCATTTTTTTTTGTTTGATATAGTTTGGTTTTTTCGGTTATGATTTTTGTGCCTACTTCTAAAAAAAAATTTTAACCTAAGAGACCATGTTGGCTCTTCATCCAGTTCTTTTTTCCAATTATTTATTAGACAGCCACGTTAAATTTTAGTAGTACAGATATTGGTTGTAAAAATTTTAAATTTTTTTGACGTGACAACAAAAAAACAGTTAAAATGTTGACGTAAGGGAAAAAAAAAACTAAAATAGTCAAAAGGTGAAATTCACAGTGATTTTTATATATTGACACGGAACCCTCGCTTAGATCCAGAGTCTCTCCTACTTCACTCTCAGAACGAACTCGCCGTCGTATTCGAACTACTCGTCTCTTTCTCAGTCACCGGCGATAACGGCGGTGGAAGACCGTGCGATAGCAATCCAACGTCATCTCCACCGCTCACATCAATTTCCACCACCTCCGTAAAATCTCGCATCCCTTCCTTCTGAATCCCCTTCAAAACCTCGACGATCTCGTCCATCGATGGCCGGACTTCCCTCTCCTGTTGCAAACACCGGAACGCCAATTCAGCAACCGACATCATCATCCTCTTCACGGAAGGATCCCTCGCAAACCCGAGGGTCAGATCCGCGAGCTCGTGAACGGCGTCATTTTGGATCTTCGAGATCGCCATGTTCGCGAGGTTGATATCGTGGCGGTGCCTGGTGATATCAACGGCTTCTTTGGATGAGATTAGTTCAGAGAGGACGACTCCGAAACTGTAAACATCACTCTTCTCGTTTAGACGGTAACATTGGTAATACTCAGGGTCAACATATCCCGGAGTTCCTTGCGGCGCCGTGGATATATGTGTTTGATCCGTCGGAAACAACCGGGAGAGTCCGAAATCAGCCACTTTCACTTGGTAATTGCTATCTAGAAGAATGTTTGTAGTCTTCACATCTCTGTGTATAATCCCTAAAATCATCACAAATCATTTCAATTTTCAGGAATCTCATTGTGTGTGGATTAATTGTATGTTCAATTTGTGTTTACCTGAGGCATGGAGGAAGGACAATGCACTAGCGGTTTGAATGGCGATGTTGAGTCGAGCAGGCCAGCAAATAGGTCGAGACTGTGCTTGGTCTCCATGGAGATGATCAGCGAGTGTGCCATTAGAGATGTACTCGTACACTAGGAGTAGCTCTCTGCTATGTCTCGTTGTGCATCCGTATAGAATCACAAGGTTAGGGTGTTTCAAGGACCTCAAGATATCGATCTCGTTCTTGAACTGCTCCACGCGTTTCAGAGACCTCTCGAAGAGTCGTTTCACGGCCACGGCTCGTCCGTCCTTTAGTATGCCTTCAGATATTTGCATTAAGCTATTTTTTTTTTTTTTTTTTTAAACGAGTTTTGGAGATGATTTGGTAGAAAATCAGAGTTTGGTTTGGTTTCTTACCGTAGTAGACAGTACCGAAGCCTCCATCTCCGAGTTCTCTAGAGAAATTCTCAGTGGCTTCCTCAAGTTCTTCATAGCTGAAGACTTGAACTCCGAAGTAGACGCTTCCGTTTGCGAGGTTAGAGATTGATTGCACAAGAGAGTGTTTGCTTCCGAAAGTTGTTGTGGAAGTTGGAGTGGTTGACATTGTGTAATTGCTTGAGTAAGGAGTCTCTGTTGAAAGGTCTTTGCTTGTGTTTTGAGCTGCCAGATTCTTCCTTCTCCGGTTGATGAAACAGAACAAACCTACTGCTAAAAGAGTGGCACCCAAAAATCCACAAGCGAATCCGATGCCTAGAGAGAAACAAAAGGACAAGACTGTTTCTGAGGTATGCTCTATTGAAATTAGTTTCCTTGAATGGAAAAGGATAGAAACCTACCTATTTTCGCTTTTTTGGGGAGACCTGCATGTACAAATACAATGAGAAAACATGTCAGTTCAAACTCAAGACGGAATTTAAAATTGTGATTGGAGCAAATTTTGAAAAATCAAGGGAGTTTCTCTGAATACTCATTAGAAAAGGAATGTAAATCATATTGAAGCTAAACTAGTTCTTGATAATGGGTTAGGTCGGTAGGGGGTGGAGGATGCAGTGGTTGAGGAAGAGAGAAGATCCGGTTCTTGTGGAAGAAGATCAGCTTCAGACGGAACTAAGATTCAGATTTACTGAAATTAGATTCCTTGAAAGGAAAAGAATAGTTACCTCCTTTTGCTTTTTCGGAATGGCCTGCATGAGAAAAAGATCAGTTTAAACTCAAGACAACTTGAATTCAAGAGATCTGGTTGTGATGGAAGGAGATTAGCAAATCAGATTGAGACATGGATGTAGGGTTCAGACTAACTAAGGTCAGCTAAAATATTTCAAGGGAACAGAGAAAGATAGATGGTTACTCGTCTTTGCTATCTCTGTCTTCTGTGTCTCAGAATTATCGCAAGTATGCTCGTGAGGCCCGTCCACACAATAGCAAACGAATGCTCTAGAGCTCACATTATGACCACAGAAACCCCCTGATCCTAGGCATCCAAAACAGTCACTGTTTAATGTAAGCCCGAATCCGTCATCAAGAGCCTTCTTTATAGCCTCCAGAGTCGGATTTCCATCTTCTATCCTCAAGGCAGATCGAGAGACTGGAATACTGACATTTCTTTCACACGATGCACTTGACTCCTCTAAGATAGCTCTATCCCAAGAACGTGAAGCGGACAAGACAAAGTAACTGTGCCCACCAATATCATCGTCCTCACAGTGAAGCCTTCTAATGTGAAAACTGGGAGGAACTTTCACCACTGGATCAGCGCAGTTGTAATAAAGTATTGACAGCATTGTGTCGTGAGGAAATGGAAGGACATCTTGGTTGATTGCTGCATTCTCAGGGTATTGGGGACAAAGATTGTTGTGATAATCCTTTCTGTCGAGTTTTATGATTCCAGACTCATAGTGATAATCAAGGATTTGGAACTTAACGGAGGATATACTATACTCTGCAAAATCTCCGGTGCAGTTGACCATAAATTCCGGGTGGCCGCACTCTTCTCTCTCAGGTGTCCAAAAGGGATAAGAGAGTGCTATCTGATTTCCGCAGCTAAACCTTCTTGCGCAGTGTTTGTGATGCTTATCAACTGAGAAAACACAAGAGGGGATCACAAAGAACATCCATATGGTTGTATAGGACCAAGATTTTGTCAGAGACAGAGAAAGATTTCTCATGGTGTTCTCCTCTTTTTTTTTTTTCTGGTTTGGAGATGAACAAGAGGATGAAGAAGAAAGAAAATGAAGAGGTAACATACAGATGAGGAAATAGGTAAATGGTTTTTGTCTAAGTCTTGGTTTTTGTATGAGTTGAAACAAGGAAGAGAAAACTAAGGTTTCTTTTTATATATTTGTTAATTTGTAGACGGAAATTTCTTTGGAATTAGGTGGGTTAGGATGACTTAGTCTTCGAACAGACTTGTAGACGATCTAAAGGATTTTTTTATTTTATTAAATTCTTTAAATGATTTTATTTTACTCGGTTGCTATTAAAAATTATCAATTTGCATTAATACTTAGTTCTTTTGTTTTTGTAGGACGATCTAAAAAGCAAGTGCCGGTACAAGAATTTTACTAGGAAAAGTAAGTCTAAAAATAGACTAATGAAGAAAATCTCTAAAAGGGGTTATAAAGATAAACTGATGAAGCAAATCTTCAAAAGGGCTTCAAAAGAAAGAAGAAAGACTTTACCTTAATTGGCCCTTCTTTTGCTCTCCACTTTCTTTGTCAGTTTCAGATAATTTCAAAGAATAAAAGAGTGGAACAAGATAAAGACTCTTTAGTATTTTCCATGAAAACTGATGGATGTTGATGATGAAGAAGAAGGAATTGTGATTAAGGAAGGAATATTTTCACACCAAGTTGCTGGAGACATTTCAAGACTTATTAGACCACTCAAGTTTCTACGCTTCTCTCTCGAGCTTACTAAGAAGTAAGGTATGCCTTATCACTGCTAAAACCGATATAAGGAAGATGGAAAGGAAAAGATATTTGTGACTTGGTTAGAGAGAATGAAGTAAGTATGAGCTGCGGTTCTTGGTGATTAGCAATGCTTGGGAGATTTACCAAATGTGCAACTTAGGGACTATAGTTGTGTCATAGTGTGGTTGGATTTTAGTAGAAAACTAATAATATGTTAAGCATAAGAAACTCTGCTGATAGTTCAGAAACTTACCACTAGATTTAGATGGAATCATTCGACTGCAGTTGATTACTGATCCTGAAGAGTTTGTCTTGCAGCAAATCGGAGTGGCAACCTCGTAGGCGCAGATTCCACCACTAGATTGACATTTTTTACACGGTCTCGCATCAATCTTTAGCTTCACCTCGAATCCTTCTTTAAGAACACTTCCCAAACGGGTCAAATTCAAAGCATCCTCCTCTGGAACATATTTCGTTGGAACAGTGATGTTGAAACTCGCACCACAGCGTTCCTGGTTTTCATTGTTCCGATTCACCGAGGCAACACCAATCTTTGGACATGCGAAATTCGTGGAGTTGTGAAGCTGAGTTTCGCAGAGATAGTAAACAACAATGGTCTTGTAGTCTGGCAAAACCTCAAAGAGTTCAGAAGTCAACCTTGTGCCGGTCAACGTAGCACTGCAGAATGATTCACCTAAAAAGTCTTGCCTCGCAAGTCCCAGAGTGTTAGTTGAGTTGTCTATTTGGAAGACACGGTACATCAGACCTGAGATGATTAGATAAGTTAAATTTGATTTTTGTTGGCAGCGAAGCCCCAAGGATGGATGACCACACGGTTCTGGTCGAGCCTCTCCCCAGAAAGGAAAACCGGCGGTGAGATTCCCACAGTGAAACAGAGCGTCACATAACCTAAGGTCTGGTTGACTTAGAGCGCAAGGAAGATGGTGTAAATAGGACAAGAAGAAGAGCAAGATCAGACAAGAATTGGGTCTGGAGAATCTGAGGATTACTGGAGAGAGCATGATTGATTGATATCTGAATAAAGTTTCTCTTCCTGGGGTTGCTTTGTGTTCAGTAGTGTAGATAAAATGATTAAACAATAATAGACAATAAAAATAAATCAAGTGGAGACAAAGAGCAAGTGGAAAAGTCAAGACTGAAAAGGACAGATACATTAGACTTGGAGAATTTGATCTCAGTCATGAAAATACACGTCTTTGTTAGTTGACTTTTTCAGACTTTTCTCCTCTCTTTGTTTTTCGTTTTCTGTTGTTTAGACTTAATCATCCAAAAAACTAAAGAAAAAAAATGGCTTTCACTGTGGAAAATTTTGTTAACGTACAAGAAAACTAAGTAAAACAGCAGCATAGATGTTGGAAATGTTAAAAAAAGAGTTATGATTATATATCATTTTTGATGGATTAGTTATTACCATTTGTCTTAATAATATGCATATTGATACATATCACTACAAAATATATTAATCATCAATACTTGTTTTAACATTAGGAAAATATAGTATGTTAATCACATGTTTACATTTACATGTCAATATTTCTTTATACTCTTTACCCTATAAATAAGTTATTGTAAGTAAAAAAAGTACAACATTTGAATGAATTATTTTTTTTACAAATTCTTTTTCACTTTTTTGTTCTCTATTTCGATATAACATAGACATCTACTTGTAAAGATAGTAATGTAGTCAATAACTCAAAACTATATATTAATATAATTCACAACATGTTGTTATCTATCAATTTACATATCAAAACGGTAAAATTTGTTTATGTTTTTATTATTTAGTAACTAGGTATTTATCCGCGCGACTCTGCGGATAATTTTCTAAATTTTGTATATATTTTTAATATAATAAAATTATTTTTATAATATAGATGAATATTATATTTATTTTTTATTAACTTAAGTTATGTATTTATATGTTTTAAATCTGAATAAACATTGTATATGCTTAATTTTTTTATTTTTCAAAATTATAATTTACTATCAAATTTATTTAGCTAATGTAATTTATTTTCTACTAAATTACCATTTGATCTTTCTTTATAATTATACTAGGTAATTGGTCCGCACATAAGTGCGGACATAAAAATTACAGGCATGAAAATTTTATAAAAAATAAATTATTAATAATATATATCATTAATAATAAATAAGTGATTGACCTGTTTAATAATATATTTGTAAGAATTTTTTGTTTGTGAAATAATGTTTTAATAGATTTGAGAAATTGTATATAGTAAAAAATAAAACATACACAAAATTTAAAATATTTAAAAAATCGTAAAATAAAATAAAATGATTCTTCTTTATTCGTTGATTTATATTTTTTATTTCTATGTTTCATCTTTTTATAGTTTTGATATAAGATCAATAGAGTGATCTTATAAATGGTTGGGTGAATGGGTGGAAGCAAGCAGCTGGACTGAAGTCTCTTTCTACTTGCTCAAAAGATGATCGAAGTGGATGGTGATGGGATCAATCTGCTGGACTGAAGTCTCTTTCAGGCTTGATCGGTGGATGAAATGGAATAGAAGGGTGGATCGAAGAACGCCACTCAAGGGTGTGGAAGCCCCTGTGATGAGTTCACAAACCTAGTCTCAAGGCATCACACACAAAAGACATAGATTCAAATGTTTACTAAGTGAAGAATTCCATCTTGCTTAGATAAACAAAAACAAAGCCAAAGCTTTAGAGAAAAATCTCTTTTAATTTCTAAAAATTTCTATATATTTTTACAATGAGAACAATGAGCTTTTATAGCTTTTACAAAAGATTTTTACAAATAAATACACTTAAATAAAATTATTTACATTTAAACAAAAGGAGAAAAATAAGCTAAATCAAATAATGGTCTTCTTGCCACCAATCTTGCTTTGGACTTAAATCAGAATCCTTTGACTTTATAAATCATGAAGAACAGATTCTAATAATAATTCACATATTAAAGACCCTTGATTTACTGGTTTTTGATATTGTATCATTCTCTCCTCTTCAAATGGTTTTGTCCTCAAAACTCTTTTATTTTAGCAAATATTATTTAGAAAATAGATAAAACTTTTTTCATTTTATGTTTTTTTAAACCAGAAAAATCGAAATAAACAAAAAGCGTAAATAGAAATAGAGTTTTTTTTTGTTTTTTTTAATGAAAGAAACAAACTTCGATGATACGGGAAAAACACTAATTTTTTTTGGAGTTTTTTTAAAATAAAAAAAGAATCATGAATAAAAAAAAACATAAAACTTCTTTTTCTGAGTTTTTTTTTTCAAGTTTATAAAAATTAAAGAATAATAACAACCAAAACTTTTTTTTTTTAATGAAATCTTATAAAGCATGAAACAAAAACAAAACAGAAAAAAAAAAAAAGATAGAAGATAGGAGCTTTTAGTTCTGATACCAAATGATATAAGATCAATAGGATGATCTTATAAATGGTTGGGTGAATGGGTGGAAGCAAGCAGCTGGACTGAAGTCTCTTTCTACTTGCTCAAGAGATGATCGAAGTGGATGGTGATGGGATCAATCTGCTGGACTGAAGTCTCTTTCAGGCTTGATCGGTGGATGAATTGGAATAGAAGGGTGGATCGAAGAACGCCACTCAAGGGTGTGGAAACCCCTGTGATGAGTTCACAAACCTAGTTTCAAGGCATCGCACACAAAAGACATAGATTCAAATGTTTACTAAGTGAAGAATTTCATCTTGCTTAGATAAACAAAAACAAAACCAAAGCTTTAGAGAAAAATCTCTTTTAATTTCCAAAAATTTCTATATATTTTTACAATGAGAACAATGAGCTTTTATAGCTTTTACAAAAGATTTTTACAAATAAATACACTTAAATAAAATTATTTACATTTAAACAAAAGGAGAAAAATAAGCTAAATCAAATAATGGTCTTCTTGCCATCAATTTTGCTTTGGACTTGAATCAGAATTCTTTGACTTTATAAATCATGAAGAACAGATTCTAATAATAATTCACATATTGAAGACCCTTGATTTACTGGTTTTTGATATTGTATCAAGTTTGTTATCTCATTCTGTCACTTTATGTCCTATTTCTAGTTCATAATTCTCACTATCAGATTGAAATACATTCACATATAATATAAACTTTTGATCTTTATTTATAGTGAGATAAAATAAGATGAAAATAAAAATGAAGAAATTCTCCTTTTAAAAATCTGATACCGCAATATTTCACACAAACAACTGAACTTGTAAATATTTTGCTAAAAACTTACTTAAAATAAGATTTAAAAAATTTCCATCAAAAACCAATTTCACAAATTTTCTGCCAAAAACTTGAATAAGTAACTTTCGCACCAAAAGAATTACATCAAAAATATGATCCAAAAACATTTTATCAAAATTTTGATTTTGTGAATTTTCCGCCAAAAACTGAATCCAAAAAAAAAATATGATTCGAAAAATTACCAGTCAAAATTTTGATTTCATGAATTTTTTGCTATATAAGTGAAATCGTAAATTTTCCGTAAAAAAAACTTATTTAAATTATTATTTTAAAAAACTTTCGTGAAAACCCGATTTCTGAAATTTTCTGCCAAAAACATGAATTTGTAATTTTCCCATCAAACGTATATTTTAGAGTATTTTAATATGATTTCGTGAGTTTTTACCAAATATTATGAATCCATAAATTTTATGTCAAAAATATAATATCAAAAAAATTCTGGCTAAATAGTTTGTCTCAAATTTTCTACTAAATACTTGAAATCCGTAAATTTTTCTGGCAAAATTTTTGTGTCGAAATGTAATTTCAAATTTATTTGACAAAAATATAATTCTTCCAATTGCTCCAATTTTATATCAAAATTTAAAATCAAATTTTATTTATAGATTAAATAATGCCATGTCACAAGCCATGTGTACTAAAAACTGACATGTCACAATTACATTATTATTACACATTATCGTTTCCATGTCACATTAAAATTACTCAAACTAAACATATTAACCAATCAAATTAAAACAAATCAGTATTTTTCATTAAACTACATTCTCAATTAATAGGTAGAGGATAAAAATATGCCATTTTAAAAAATATTAATTAATTAGATTATTTTGAATTATAAAATTTATTTATTTATCAAATATTTATTATAAACATATGTTTCTAAAACTACCAAAATATAATCAATAGCATTTATATCAAAATCATTGATATTGCTTTAGAACTAAATAAAAAATTCTATTTGAATTGTTGAAATATCAAATTTAGTTGAATTTATCTTCCTGCAAAAACCAAAAAATCGTATTTTTCCATCAAAACAGAAAAAATTCATTTTTCCATCGAAAACCGAAAAATCGTATATTCCAGCCAAAACCAAAAGAAAATCATTTTTTCGTCGCTTTGCTACCAAAACTGATAAACTACAATTTCTTGAAAACCAAAAATTGCATTATCTCCCGAAAAATTGCGTTTCCCGTGAAAACTATGAAATCACATTTTCCCGCGAAAACTAAAAAATCACATTATATGTCAAAAACTGAAAATTTGCATTTCCTATCAAAACCGAAAAAATTGCTTATTCCAGCCAAATCCGAAAAATTGCTTATTCCAGCCAAATCCGAGAAATTTTATTTTTCCATCAACCCGAGAAATTGCATTTTGTGCCAAAATTGTCAAATTGCAATTTCCCGCGAAACTAAGAAATCACATTTTCTCGCAAAAATCAAGAAATCGCATTATCCATCAAAAGCCAAAAATTTGCATTTCCTATCAAAACCGAGAAATTGTTTTGAGTAAAACCCTATATATTCACATAGTTCACTTCCTGCAGCTCATCAGTCACGTCTGCAGCAAAATTCTGACAGAAATCTGCATCTCTTCTCTCCTCACAGAGCTGCACACCTCTCTGGTTTCCTTTCAACAACAGATTCACTTTTGCAGTCAACTCATCAATCTTATGTGATTGAACACTGCTGACACGTCTAGACCTATCATATTCTGGGCTGTGATTATTGGAACTTGCAGCCAAGTTCTCTATCAGTTGGTATGCTCCTGTAATACTCTTTGTCATGAAATCTCCATTGGTTGCAGCATTGAGGTTGTTCTTGTATTACCATTCAACTTCATCGTAGAAGATGCTAAGTAACTGCTTATCTGAAAACCCATGGTGAGGACACTTTCTGTGGTACTCCTTGAATCTCTCCCAAGCTTCAGAGAAAGACTCTCCTGAATGTTGCTGG